CCGAGAGAGAGAGAGAGATTTGTGTGAATCGAGAAGATGGATGAGTCGAGCGTGAAGGCGGAGAGGAAGGTGATTGGAAAATGCTTCACTTGTCCTATCTGTAACAAATTCTTTGTTGATGCTACCACCATCATCGAGTGCATCCACACTTGTGAGTCTTTTGATTCTCTTTTCTTCGTTTTCTATTTTCTCACTCTGATTCTGCAAATCTGGTTAAAAAGAGTATACAATTGTCCTTTTTATCTATAGATAATCATTGTTGACCAATATAGATAATCCTTAGTACTAGTTGTGGATATAAGTCTTTGTGATTTCTCCTTGTTTGCCTCCAATCATTGGTTTCCTTTGTTGTAATCTTTTTGGTAAAAATTCAACCAAAACTCTGAATGTTACGTTTCTAGTCTTCGCTTTGGTCCCGATAGATCTTGTGCCTTTATATCATGGAACATGTTTTGGTTTGTATATATGATTATGAGACTATTTGTTACAGTTTAAATAATTGGCCATTGTAACTTAACAAAGTTGAAATTTTGTAATCAGTTTGCAGGAAATGCATACGTGACAAGATAACAGCAGAGAATCTGAAAGCTTGTCCGGTCTGCCAAGTTGATCTTGGTGCTAATCCTCTTGAAAAACTCCGGTATAGTCTCCTTACATATATTCTCCAATCAAATACATTTCAAGTCTTTTGTTTCAAAATGTGTCTTCTCTTCTTCTTAGCATTTGCATCTATGTATGTTTTATGTTTCATAGATTTACCAAGTATGTAATGTAAATGCAGGACGGATAACATATGGCTAGACTTGAGGAGTACAATCTTCCCACCAAAGCCAGCAACCAAAAAGCATAAAGCCAAGAAGAAGAAAAAAACTGTCTCTTCTGTCCTCGCCGCTCCATCTAGAGTATCGACCTCAGCTGATCAATCAAACACCGACGATGCTCCACTGGAACCCGAGAAGCTCACCGAGAAAGTGGAAGATGTTCCTCAGATCCAGAGCTCGTCTAGACCACTTGTAAAGTACAGGAGACGTCAAAGGAAAAATCCAATGCCTAAAAGGTTTAATGATATTGGATTGGAACCAGACATTGAACAAGATGAAGGTGAAAATGATTTCGAGATTGTTCTCAACATTGAACAAGACAATGGTTTGGTTAGTAAAACTTACAATCTTTAAATAGTTCTCTTTCATATTTTGTTTAAATGTGTGTTTCTAATTATATTTACTACGATGAATTTATGCGTGCGCAGGCTGGAGCAGGGGCATCTGAAGTATGCAACGGTACCGCAATAATTGTTGAGCCAGCAAAAAGTCTGAATAGCAAACAAAATCATGTCTCTGGTGGCGATACAGATGATGAAGTCTCTGGTGAAGTAAATCAAAACACTCTTGTTATTATCTCTGATGGTGAAACAGAGGAAATCTTTGGTGAGCAACCAAAGAAGAATGCTAAAGAAAATCAAGAATCGTCTGTCCGTAGCTCATGTGATAAGAAACAGAAAGGAAAAGCTTATTCTCCTCCGGTTTTGAGATCCCGAAAGACGAGGAATGTGGATTCAGCTGGTACATCACAAAATGCTATTTCTAAGGAAGTTTGGTTTACTCTAGCAGCTCTCAAGAATCAGTAAAGGCTTTTTTTACTATCTTCTTCTAAGCTAAGATTCCGATTATATCGAAGCTTTTTATGACTCGACTAGTTTGTTTTTCAGGCACTCAAACAGGCCACTTCCTGAGATCCCCACTCTCTACTTCAAATGGTGCAATTTCCATTAGATTTTTATATTTTGTAATTATACTAACTTCATTCAGAAAAACAAACTCAATATGTACTTTAATGATTCTTTGATTTGTTTATCTTGACAGTAATGGAAACTTGCCTGTCTCATATGTGAAGAAGTTAGTAGCGAAGAAGCTCAATCTCGATAGCAAAGACGAAGTAACTAACTATTAATCTTCAATCTCTATCTCCTTGTCTCTCTTTTGTCTCTTAAACCTAAAGGTTTTTGATCTCTTTTTGCAGGTGGAGATATGGCTAAGGAAAGAGCCATTGTGTTCGTCACAGTTGCTGCATACCGTGTTGGATTGGTGGATCGAGACTACTCCAATCTTTGATCAAAGAAGTGCAATGATTGGAAACTCCGGCGAAGAGTTCGTCATGAAACTCAACTACAGTCGCTCTCACCTCTATCCCTAAATCCTTCTCTTTTAAAACTCTTTCTTGCGTAGAAAGAAAGCATGAAAAAGAGACTAGCCCTAGGGCTTTTGCATCTTTCTTTGTTTAGTAATTGCTGAGAACATATTTGGCAACCCTTTTTATTCATCTCTCTCTCTCTTTGTTTGCTTTGTGACTTGTGAAACGGTACCGTTTCGTACAATTTTCAGTTTTTTTGTCAGATGTAATATTTGGACAAGAGGCTCATTTTAGCCAATCTCACTTTTGTGTGATAAGATGCGCTGATTTTGTGCCTTGTTTGGTTAATTTAGCTACCTTGTTCTTTGACTGGTTTAGATTTTACGAAAGACTTGTATCCAAACAAGCCTCTACCTTTCTTTGCCCGCCATGGATAAACACAGAGTGTGAGAGCTTCGTGGCGACAAGGAATCTGCGAAAGCTGAAATTTTTATTGAAAATTTCCTTTGCGAATTCCATTTATTAATCTCAGCAAATGGCGATGAAACCCAGTCGCCATTTCTGTCCAACTATTGTCACGAAGACGAAGTTTGTCTACTCGTTTCAAAGCTCCTTCTGTTTCCGTTTCTTAAGGTACAGTTCATCAATTTCACTATGGCCATGTAACTCAAGTAGTGATCAAACTCCATCAAGGAGATTTAGCGTTTCTCCTGTGAACAAGTTTAAAAGCTTATCTGATAATAGTAGTAGTAGTAGGGATGGTAATGGTGAGTGGTTGGAGAATTGGAACAGAACCCAGAAACAGAATCAATCTAAACCTCCAAAATTAGTTGTGAATTATCGAAAAGAAGGGAACTTTTCTGGGTTAGGGATTGTG